GCAAATATATAAATAAATATACATTCCAGTGAAAAATTAAATAAATGATGAAAAAATATAAAAAATAAAAATGAATGAGTCCCACTCCAAATTAATAAAGTGAAAAATAAAAATAAAAAAATATTCATAAAAGTCATTTTTCAAAAAAAAAAAAAAAACTTTGGGTCTAGGATCCCAAAAGAACCCTAAAAGGCGTTTTTTTTCACCAATATGTGAGTGCGGTGTGTGGTATTTGAGCACTATTTCGGTGAATACACGGGTCAAAAGTTTTTTTTTTTTTTGAAAAATGACTTTTATGAAATATATTTTTTTTATTTTTCACTTAATTGATTTGGAGTGGGACTCGTTAATTTTTATATTTTTTATATTTTTTTTTATCAATTCTTATATATTTTAATTTTTCACTGGAGTGTATATTTATTAATATATTTGCGCTGTTTTGATGTCTTACATATTTCTTTTTACTGGGAAATCTTAGTCCTCTTTAAATATCATCATAAACCAAAGCTAAAATGCATTCTCTTTTTTTTGTAAATGTATTTCAAAAATAAAACCTATTAAGAGTGCAATATTCTGTGTTTTCTAATGTATATGTGCTTTATTTTTAAGAAAAGTCAAATTTCACAAAATTGAGAAAAATTTTGACCAAAACGTCAGCAAAGTGGAGTCAAGGTACAAGATCAGAATCCAGACTCTTATGAATGAGAATTCAGATTTAAGGTAAAAGAAGTATACTTTTTTTATGATTTTGTTATACCTTAAACATCTGTAGTAATGCCAAATGTCCAGATCTTAAAAATTAAAGGTTTTAATAAGTAGAGACCTTTTTGTTTTAAGAGTGGTCCCAAAATGTAGGTGTCAAAAGACTGCTGAAAATAGATGTTTCCAATAATGCTGCAAAAACTGTTGTGCAGCTTTCATACAGCCAGTGAAATAGGCTTAAAATGATTATAAAATGTAAAGATTTTTTTTTTTTTACCTTATCGCATTAATGTAAAAATATTTTATCTGGACATCCACCCTCAACCCCCCCTCCCAAAAAAAAAAACCCTCACATGAGCCCAATGTTGATCCAGCGCTGTGCACAAGAGCAGCATCTCTGCTCTCCCTCTTGCTCCTCACTGGCTTAGACACAGAAGCAGGAACTGTAGTATAGAAAGAGAGCACCAACCTTGCGCATTACCTCAGTAAACAGTAGATGAAAATCTATTAATAAAAATATACTCACAAGAGTAGCAGTAAAATAGGCATATAATAACAGTAGCCAACACAGGGTTACAGGTCACGGGCAAGTGCCATCCGGAGAGGAGTAAAACTCTTGGTCAAGCTAACACGTTTCGGTGATCCCTTCTTCATCAGAGCTGGATTATAGATAGGAATCATCCATTAGGGTTCAGTTCCCATAGCTAGGAGGCATTCAGCCTCTAAGTGTCAGTGTTTCAGCCAGTTTACCATTGGCTCCTGCTGCTGTCAATCACAACCAGTGAGGAGGGAGTGGGGGGGGGCTGGAACTAAGCCCCACTGTTGCAATAGAAAAACAGAATGGTTGGCCGCACTAACAGCAATGTGGTGGATAAAATCCTTTATTGGAATCCTTTACATGCAATATGATAAGAACATGACCACTCCAAGACAGGACAGAGGAGCAGTCGACGCGTTTCACACAAACACATGCTTAGTTATTACACTGTGTATTTCTATGGACCACACATGACTCAGGAGCATGCTCACATGAGTGCCCCCATAGTAGGCAACTTGCTATGGGGGCATTCAGAGAGGGGGAGGAGCCAGGAGCACCAGTGCATGACCTGAGAATAGGAGGATCAGGGCTGCTGTGTACAGAACCATTGCACAGAGCAGGTATTACATATTTATTTTTATTTTATTTTTTATAACTGAGCCTTTACAATAACTTTGAAGTGGTTTTTAAACCCAAAAGCAAACATTTATTATATTGCAGCTTACATATTTTTTAGATGTAATGGCTGTATTAGTTCTCTTTTTTTTAAGCTTTCCTTCTTTTATTTTCACCTGGTGATCTAGCCAGTGAGTCTGTTGTTTTGCAACAGAACAAGCTGTCCTAAATTTTTTCATTTAGTTTTGCTAACAAGTTTAGTGTGCCAGTTCTGAGCGCAGACGGGCATTTTTTTCTTGTAACTCTGAGCCGAAGTGCATAGATGTGATATTTACACACGAGAGGAACAAACTGGATTTTCTGTTTGAAATGTAATGCATGCTTTGATTTGAATTCCTTTTACATCACTGCAGGAAAATGATGAATGGGCCCATAAAATTTGTTAAACGATGTGTTAGTGTAATGCCAAACCTACTGTATTAGGCCAGAAAGTATAGAAGTGGAAGAATACATTTTGGCCTAAATTAACAAACTCTGAGTTTACTATATATTTTTTATAGCTGAAAGTAAAAAAATATTGTTTTTCTTCAAAATATTTGGTCTTTTTTTGTTTATAGCGTGAAAAATAAAAAGCGCACAGGTGATCAAATACCACCGAAAGAAAGCTCTATTTGTGTGAAAAAAAGGATGTAAATTTCGTTTAGGTGCGGCATTGCATGACCGCGCAATTATCAGTTGAATTTGTGCAGCGCCGAGTAGCAAAAAGAGGCATGGCCTGGTCATTAAGGGGGGTAAATCCTCAGGAAGGCAAGTGGCAAGGCCCACATAATGCACAAACAATGAAAAGAAAGCTAAAAATGGGCACAGGCACCAACTCAATCCATACACAGCCAGGGAGGAGATGGCGTTAAACCACACTGACTGCAGTGGGGCACGTCCACCCCGGGGAGAGAGCACGACCACTCCCTCCCACAGTCTGAGATGACGGATGCAGTGTGCCTCGAACCTACGGCCATGCCTGTGGGAGCCGGACGCCTTAACCATTGGGCTGACCACCGCCCAACTAGATAATGTAAAAAAAAAAACCTTTGTTTTCTTTGTGAAGCGGTATTTGCGTCAAGTGAAGCGGCTTGCTAGGTATTTCAACTGCGCATGTGCCGATTTCAGGCATTTCCTCAGCTGGAAGCGCGGTAACTGGAGCACGGCACGGGTTTACCAAGTTCATCGTCATAGCTTCCACGCCCACCTCCGTCAACTCTTCATGCCCAGCTCCTCCTGTCTGGGCGTGGCTCTGCACTTTCACATGCCATTGCCTTCCTTGTTTCAGCCTTCCTTTGCTGTCATTTCATCTAGTCGGACGCTCCCAGGACATTCTTCTGGGGACATGGCGACAAGCCTCATCTTCCCTTACACAGGGACTGCATTTCATTAGCAACTCTTTCCTTCCCATGACACTTGGACACTCGCTTGCTTGCGCTTTTCTGCTTCCTTTCATTGGCCATTATGTGGGTTAACACCTTTTTATCTGGAGCTGCAACCACCAAAATGGGGACATTTTATTACCCACCTTTTTTTAGCATTAACCACTTGCCTTCTGGAGGATTTACCCCCCCCCCCCCCCCCCCCCCCCTTAATCACCAGGCCTCTTTCTGCTACTCGGCGCTGCACTAATTCAACTGAGAATTGCGCGGTCATGCAGTGTTGTACCCAAACGAAATTTACCGCCTTTTTTTCACACAAAGTGCATAGATGTGAAGGGGACACACGAGAGGAACAAACTGGATTTCTGTTTGAAATGTAATGCATGCTTTGATTTGAATTCCTTTTACATCACTGCAGGAAAATGATGAATGGGCCCATAATTTGTTAAACGATGTGTTAGTGTAATGCCAAACCTACTGTATTAGGCCAGAAAGTAATCCAATATCTCAGGACAGTGTGCTGTAGGATATAAGATATTGTGAGCAGAGCGCCGTGTCTGCTGGCAGTGATGATGAGTCATGGAGGTGTTCATAAGAAGTGATGTGTAGCTTTGAATATCCTTTTCTGAAAGTGAGAAAGCTATAGCTATTTCCAATGTGACATTCAATGTTACTTTTTTTAAACAGGAGAAAACTCATAGCTAAAAATGAGCAACTCTACAGTGATAGAAACCGAGATCGTCCTGGAACCTAGCCAAGTGAGGCTGCCTGAAAACCATCTGGAGACCTCTCCTACCAATTGCTGGCACAGAAACTGCTACTGTCATTCCTATGGAAGTATATTACCTTTTTAGCGTATATACAGTATGTAGTGTTGTCTACGTATGTAAAACATATGTCTCTATAAAAAATTATACTGAATATAACTTAGCAAGGAATTGGCTATTTTTCTTCTATATCTAAACCACCAATTAAATTGTAATGTATCGCAGCTTACCAGCTCTTGTGGTGGATGCATTAGTTTTCTTTTTTTTTTTAAGCTTGTTTCACTTGGTGATTCTGCCAGTAGCATATTTCCTGTCCTAGAATGACAACATTCGCTCACCCTACTGTATAAGGACAACAGAAACAATAACACTGAAAAATGCAGAACTACTCCCTTCTATGTTATGGACAGTATAGGAGGGTTCTGTAGTCCTATCTTGTTTCTGTGATGTTGTGATCCCAAGAAATGGCCGAGGACACAGCATTGGCAGGACAGAGGACCAAGAGGCAAAACTGTCCTGACAAATTCCAGGACAATTGGCATGTAAGGGGTTACTGCACTTAATAATCTGTAGCCCTATGAGGTTTTCTTGTTAAATGTGTTAGAGAGCATAGGTGCAAAAAGCACTGAGCATGAATTTGTAAAAGACCTGGTACTGGAACCGTGCGCTATCACTTTACATGGCAAATACTTCAGGGAATAATAGCTAATGTAAATCAAAAAGCAAGGTGTCACACTCCACTACCAATAATAATGATATGAAATATATAAACATACATAAATAAGAATAAATGAGAAAAAAAATATATTAATTAAATGAAATAAATTTTATTTTATTTAATCCATATATTAAATGGAAATCCGTTATTCTTATTTATGTATGTTTATATATTTCATATCATCATTATTGGTAGTGGAGCACGACACCTTGCTTTTTTATTTATTTATAGTGACACACAGGGGCGGACTGACAACTCATGGGGCCCCCGGGCAATAGGGGATCATGGGGCCCCTGTGTCCTTGCCCAAACTCAAAAACGCCTATGAAAAAGGTACCAGGGGCATCTCATGGGGCCCCCTACTGACCCCAGGCCCTCGGGCAGTGCCCAAGTTTCTAAATGGTCAGTCTGCCCCTGGTGACACACTAGTATGAGTATAGTGTAGGCGACCCACTCATTTATTTAATATTTCATACACCAGTTCATTTATTTTATTTATTGCATCCATTTCGCTTAGTTTTATTCAACTTAATTTTTTGGTGCAATTTTATTAACCAACTGATTTTTTAAATGATTTTATTTATAGAATACACCATAGTAGCTCACAAGAATCACGTTTATCAAATAATAGCTAATGTGTTACATAATAGCTAATGTGTTACGTTTTCACAAATAGGCAGCAGTGGGAAGTGATAGCTGTCTTCATACTGAACTCCCTTCAAGCATATTTTGGCACTATGTGATTCAAACAGGAATGACAGCACTGCAAATGGGATTCATAATGCTGACACTCCCATTCTCAGCCTGATTTCCAGTGTACAGAAGTTTATGAAAAATTAATATAAAAGTAGATTTCAGATGCTTGCCCTACATAGCAGTATTTAAAGTATTTGTTTTTTCTTTATCGTACATCAGGGGACACAGAGCAGGCTATTCATGACTATGTGGGTTATAGGCCACCTATAGGTGAATGGACACTGGCTGACAAATCAAAGAAGAGGTCCTCCTCTATAGAACCCCTCCTACACAGGAAGTACTTCAGTTTTTTCACCAGTGTCTGTAAGGTGAATGGTCACTGAAAGTGTTGTTTGTGCTCCTGGAGCTTACCTAAGGTCTAGTACGGTTCCTTCGAGAATCATGGACTTTAATCGGATCCATTCAGAAAGCTGTGAGCCAAGGGGAAGTGCTTGTGGCATTTTTTTCCTTGGGACATGCTTGCCTGTTGTTCTGTTTGGAGTCACTAGAGGAAGCAGTCTGGTCCCTAAGTGTGTGGCCGGCCATCGGCCCTGGGGCGCGTGCACAGCGGGGTGCACGTGCTCACAAAGATCGGGCACACATGTGCAGTAGCAGCCGGAAATGGAAATCGTTCATATTCATTCATCAGGAGGCCTGGGCACACGTGGGCTGCTGCTGCTGAGGGATTCCTGTGGCCGGGTCACAGAGCAGGCTATTCAGTGGGGCACGTGAGTACTCCCCTGAGGGGGAAGCATTGGCCAGTCAGTCAGGAGCTGCCCTTGGTGGCTGACAAGGACAGCAATTTGCACTGTGTGTTTTTCTTCAGCACACTGCTTACATAGCTGTATCTTGTGGTCTGTGTTTACTATTGGAGGTGCATAGGTTTTTACGCTATCTGAAGTAATGTCTTCCAGAACGTGGAGTGGAGGAGGCACGGCAGGAAGGGGCACTAATGTGCCGCCACAAGGTCCTGAGGAATCTAGCCAAATGTTCACTGTAATATCCTCTCCTGAAAGGCCAGAAGTGACTGGGCAGTCGGAGCTACTGCATTTATCTGGCATTGTGGCTACTACTGGGGCATCTGACTCTGCATATGTAACCAAGAATGATCTTGCTCTAGCCTTAGTGGGGTTAGAGGATAAGATCGCTAGGATGATTGCATCGGTTTCTCATCCCCATCACTAGAACCACCAATCCTGGAACAGGAATGGGTGGAACCTGAGGATGAGGAAGAACTGGAGGAAGGTCAGGCAGTAGAGTCTCTGAGGGGTCACAGCCTGAAGAGAAGCTGGTGATCTCCTCCCAGTCTCAGAGATTATTAGTGCAGGACCTCATTGATATGGTACAATCTGGATTCAGGCTACCTCCGATAGAAATCTCTGAGGTTACTTATTCTTCTCTGGGCTCTTTGAAGCCTCCACAGAGTACTCAAGCCTTTCTGGTGCATCCTCTTTTGGAGCAAATTATGTATGCTGACTGGGATCACCCAGACAGGGTTTTTTCCACCAAAGAGGTTCTTTTTTTGTACCCCGTGGAAGAGAAGTTAGTTAAGAACTGTGGTTTGCTTGTAGTGGATGCAGCTGTTTCATAAATCTTTAACATGTCCTGTGGATAATGTCCAGGTTTTCAAGGATCCAGTGGATAAAAAGCTAGAGTCTCTCCTTAAATCCTCCTTCTCCCTGGCAGGTTCTGCCACACAGCCAGAAGTGGCAGCTATTGGCATTTGCCAGAGTCTTTCTGACAAATGCTTGGAAGACCGCCGGTGCAGGGGGAATACTTGGCTGAAGATTTGGTGGATGTTCCAAGTACTTTATTTTGCGGTTGATGCTCTTAAGGATTCAAGTCAGCAAATTTCTTGCTTGGACCTCCTATCAGAGCACATGCGCAGGGTTTTGTGTCTGAAGAGTTGGTTGGCAGAACTGCCATGCAAAAAATTATTGGCAGGTTTTCCCTTTCATGGAGAATGGCTGTTTGGGGAAGATTTGGACAAATATATCCAAAAGATTTCAGGGGGAATGAGTTCTCTTCTACTCTTTAAAAGGGGATCCAAGCGCCCTTCTTTTAAGGTGTAAGGGGCTTCGGTTGCTGGCCCCTTATGTACCAGGCAGTCGTTTCGCCACACACAGGTCCCAGCCTCCAGAGGTAGAACTCAGAATCAAAACCTGAGGAGGGTTGCAAAAGTCATCCAAGGCAGATCCAAAGTCTGCCTTCCTATAAAGGAGTGCCTCTACTCGTTCGGGTAGGGCAAGGCATTTTAATTTTGTAGCTGCCTGGAGGGCTCTAATCCAAGACAAATTGGTTATTTCCACGATGTCTCTGGGGTACAGACTAGAATTTTGGTTCTTTCTCCCACCCCGGTTTTTAAAATCAAATGTACCAATAAATCAAGAGAAGAGCTTTATTACAGGCACTCGATTGCCTATTGTCTGGGGGGGGGGGGGGGTGATCATGGAGGTTCCAGCAGATGAAAGGTTTCAGGGGTTTTATTTGAATCTGTTCACAGTGCCAAAGTGAGATGGGAATGTTAGGCCCATGTTGGATCTCAAGGGGCTAAATCATCTGAAACCCAGATCCTGAAGGATAGGGGAGTGTCAGATTCTGTCATCCCCATCATGTTGGGTGCTAGAAAGGTAGTCTCTAGGAATATTTACATTTCCTGATGTGATGTTCACAAATGGCACCCAAGAAATTATGTGATTGGTAGGATTCTTTAGTTTTGTTCAAACAGGGTTGCAGAAAAAATTGGCTGTTGGTACCATTAAGGGCCAGGTTTCAGTATTAGCTGTTTTTTTCCAGAGGCCCATTGCATCTCACTCTTTGGTTTGCACTTTTTTAAAGAGAGTGGTACGTATTGCTCCTCCTGTCCAGTTACCTTTTGTTTCCTTTAGGCCTGAACTTGATTTTGGAGGTTTTGCTAAAACCACCATATGAACCTATTGGGGAGATTCCACTGGTCCTGTTGACTCGTAAGGTGTTGTTTCTTGATGTGCTCAATCACTTCTGCGAGAAGGGTGTTGGAGCTGGCAGCTCTTTCTTGCTGAAAACCAATTCTGGTTTTGCATCATGATAAGGTAGTGTTGTGACCTCATCCACCCTTTTTACCAAACGTGGTTTCATCTCAATCAGGACATTGTTCTGCCTATATTCTTTCCTAGGCCTCAGTCAGCAAGAGAAAGATCTCTGCATACCTTGGATGTGGTACGCACTGTAATGGTCTTCTTGAAGGTGACGGCACAGGTCAGAAGCTCTGTTCATGCTGCCAGAGGGGCCTAGGAAGGGGCAGGCCATATTCAAGGCAATTATTTCACATTGAATCTGCCAATTGATCATTCAAGCCTATGGTTTAAAAGGTAAGGTCCCACCCTTTCGGGTGAAGGCAGACTCTACCAGGAGTGTGGGGGCATCTTGGGCAAACCGACCATCAGGCATCAGTGGCTCAGGTTTGCAAGGCCGCTACATGGTCTTCGGTTCATACGTTCACAAGGTTCTACCAGGTGGATGTGAGAGCCGCAGAGGATTCTGCCTTTGGCCGCGGTGTTTTACGGGCGGCTGAGTAGGTCCTGAGGGATTATGGACAGTGGCTATCATTGTGTCACCCTCCCATCAAATTTCTTATTTCCTTGGGACATCCCACATAGTCATGAATAGTGTGCTCTGTGTCTCGTGATGTATGATCATGGGACACAGAGGTCTCACCCCTCTTTCTGGAATTTCATTGCTTGCTACAAAAACTGATATACTTCCTGTGTAGGTAGGGGGGTTATATAGGGGGAGGACCTCCTCTCTGATTGGTCGGCCAGTGTCCATTCAACTATAGGTGGCCTATAACCCACATAGTCATGAATAGCCTGCTCTGTGTCCCATGATGTACGTAAGAAATGGATTTTACAGGTAGATATGTAAAATCCAGTTTTTCACAACTTTTTTTCTTAGTTTTAGGTACAGTAGGGAAGGATTGCAATCCCTGCAAAGTAATTTTTTGCTATCCTTATAGTATTGGGGAAATATTCCTTTACTTCCTGCCCCAGAGATACAAGAGGAAATCTTCCAAACTGAAGCTAATTCCCATATTGATCCCTATTGTCCCCATTGAAAAATTTCTCCTAAATTCTCATTCTAGGGACAACACTAACATTTTTGATTTCCTGCCCTGACTTTCTGTCTTGGTGATAATAGTCACCAGTATAAATAGAGTAGTGAATCTCCTCAATGGGGACATAGACAACAATGAAAACTTGACAGAGGGTCTAATACGTCCTCATGCTATCCAAAACTGAAAAAAGGTATTGCCTAGATTCCCTGGAAATACTCTTTAGAATTTTAGAAATACACTTTAAAACATATTTAATGGGTTTTGAAAGAAAATATAACTGAAAGTAACTCTAAAGGCAACATTTTTTGTTTTTCAAAAATAACAAAATATGTCATACTTATCTGCTCTGTGGTCTGCATAGAGCAGCACCAATCTTCCTCTTCTTGGGTCGTCTGCCAGCTTTCCTGGCCCCTCCCCCCTGCTGAGAGCCTCCATATTAATCTGCTTGCTGTGGGTGCACTTGTTTGTACTCCTGCATTCCTGAGCTGGCACTGTGTGTCCATTGACACACAGAGCGGTGCCTCGTCTCCAACTCTCTACTCACTGGCTGTGATTGACAGCAGCAGGAGCCAATGGCTCCCACTGCTGCTTCTGTCCACTGAAGAGAGAGAGAGA